ACCTGCAACCACAAACCACTTTAAACACCCACAACAGATAGCATAATATACCACTAGTATAATAATGCTTGCTAACTTATGACTACTTAAATTAAATTTCGGAAAAATGGCTTTGCCTAAAAACTACTTTCGACTAAAAACAGCGTGAACAAGCGACGATTAGAATATTCAAAAAACTACGAGCCAGCTATGGGGTAAATTAGTCTAATAGATGTCTTCTACTTTCGATTTTTAGGAGATAATCTAATGATATTAACTTTATTTCATTATGTTAATATTCATTCTACGCCAGTAGCCTTTATTCGAATTTAAATACAATAGTAAATTCGAAATTATAAAAATGAACCTTACCTTTTCTTTAACAGAAATTTGTCGCGCGTGTAAAAGGAAATTAATAATCGCAACGAAGAAACCTAATATTCCTCCAAAACCCAACACTAAAAATATTCCACTGGTATTCTTCATTTGCAATGAACCGTTGTCTTCTGCCTCGTTTGTAGATTTCTGATGAAAAAAAAATATAATTAATACCAATGTAATGCTAAAATTCACATTTTTATAATAAAAGGAGGCAAACGGCGTGAACACAAAGGTGGTCAACGACGCCTATGGACATTCCCAACACCAGAGGAACTACAAATGCGTTGACGGCCTTTGATGTAATATAGGTTCGCTTCTTGATGGACCCTAATTTGTATCGGTTGGGATATCCCGCCGAGGACAGACTGTTCTACAATGCGGCAACGGAGCAGAACGTTCCGCGAAAACCGTAAGGTTAATAATTATAAACTTAATGAAAGTTGCACATTACCTCGCAATTTCCTTCTTTAACATCACTTTCCCACCATTTCTTTTTCGTGGTAAGTAAATCTCCCGTCTCTTGTAATGCTAAAATAGCATTATCTACAAGCCTCTTGTAAGGAGAATCTGAAATATAATTGGACAGGCGCATCCAAATTAAATGTAAAAAAACGGTGCTTTATAAAACTAAAATCTTCTCTTGTTACAGACGTAATTATTCATAATTGTGAAAATAGCCATGCATTTATGGATTAAAAGCTAAAACTGTGTTTAAGTAAAAAAAAAAACATTCGGTACTCACTTTTATGCAATACGATTCCATAATCCTTAGAATCTAGCTTAGAGCCGACCATTTTCAAATCGCAATTCCTTTGCATGTAATATTCAATAGCAGTTGATTCCATAAAGAAGACGTAATTTCCTTTACTTCTAACCACTCTATCTCTGCCTTCGTCATTGTTGTTGGTAAATACTGTTGGCTTAGCGGATTTCATAACAGTCCATATTTTCTGATACACCGAATCGTTTGAGTTCTGATTAAAAGAAAAAAAATCACAAATAATACATCATTTTCATACCACTAATTTTATCATCTCCTATGTACAAATCGTGTTCTATGTTAAAGGAAAACAAAGTGCACATATCGGCGTAGAAATTCAAAGATATGTGTGAATTCAACCAACCCTCAGTGCAGTGTGGTTGACTATGACCTAGTGACCCCTTACTTATGGTAGGCTCCGAGCCCCTTGGTGGGGACGTATAGTGAGGTGGTATTATGGTGTACAATTTAATTACTGCCACACTTTTCATGGTTTTCAAATTAAATCAAAGCAGTGGCAGTTAGAAGGTATGACATAATGATTAAAATTTGACGAGGTATACTTTTAAATTTATGCCTACCTCAAAAAAGTTGTAAGTAGAACCATTAATAAGAACGCCATACGATACTTCATTTTGTTCTGAAAGTTCTTTGATATCTTTTATATCGTTATCACGTCGACTGTTACTCAAAAATGTTGACATATTAGCTGTGTATGATGCAGTCACAATGAGGGCGAAAAACCACCACATTCCTGTCACCCAACGTGACCCTGCCGCTCTAGAATGATAAAAACACTACAAACAGTTAATATAAAAAGACTCGCAAATTCTGTCAACGCATAACAAAACTCTGCCGAAAAATTAAGAACATATGCTAAGTGAAGTATACTCGTCACTGAAGATATAATATTATTTGAAGCTACTCTTACCTTGGCAATATATCGCAACCTTGTGTCATTATAGAGCCGACTGTGAGCCACATACAGTTGTAGAGGCTCCAAATGTTTTGTAGATTTTCAGGATGTTGGTTACAAGGGTGAGGATTAACCCAGTCACCTTGACTCATTCTAAAAGTAAGACATTGCTAAAATACTGTTAAAGATACTTCTAAATAGCATTTTTAGATGTTTCGATTTCAATGCCATTTTTACAATTTGACAGTATTTGTTAATTACTTTAAAATAAATAAGCTCAAGTAAGGTAACAATGTAAAGATATCGAACGTTCAGTGCTGACGACTAGAAATGTACTGAGCTACTGCGCTTCTGAGCGACTGACGGGCTGCCAAACTGAGCTGTGCCACTCCTTGCAAGTGTTTTTATAAAACTACCCCCACTTTTTCATCCATTTTCTAACATTTCCTACCAGTATTGATATTAAGGAAATAATTCAGCACGAGGAACGGAGTACACATTTACTTCAGACACCTTCAAGATTAAACATAAAATTTAAGCCATTGAATCTAAACTTAAAAAAAATACCATAGACTCCCTTACACATCATATCTTTGTTCTTTGTACAACTAAGATCATTTTATTAAAATTTCTTGAGTATAGACAGCCAAATACATGCAAAGAGAAGATTTAACTTACCTAGCACAAATTAGCAGAACGAACGATACAATTATGTAGGCAGTGGCCAAATATAACCAGACATCCAGAGCCAAAGGCTTGATAAAAGAAAACATATCGGGTTCCTGGGGATCGCGTTCTCTGACCAGCATACTAATGCCCAATGACATAAACGGCATCGAGAACTCTACAACTGCGCTGCGTTCCGATGTTATTGTAATATCACTGATCGCCATTTCTGCATTCTGGAACAGAGTTTCTCAATATAACTGTTCGATTTTTTTAATCTATTCTATATTAGTGTTACGTGTAAATATACTGTAAATGTTCTTTGATAATTAGCTTTTTAATTTGTGACATGTTTAATAATTTTGATACTCTTTGGATATAAAAATGTAAGCGGTTACCATGGGAACGTGTTTTTGTTAAGTCTGGGCGATGAATAAAAAGATAACTAACCTGGAATAAATCGTTTTAATTCTCAACATTATAATAAAGCGTAAACACACACTTCTTTGTTGCCTAAGATGCAAGTAATTACAGCATACTTTTGAATAATTCTTTTTTTTTAATAAAAAGCCCTACACTTACGTCACGCTTTAGGTTAGATATTTTCAGGCCATAAAACTAAGGGGATAAATATTTTGGATA